TAGATACGCACCGTTTATAAATTCTAAACACTCAATTTTATTAATGTTCTTAACGAGATAGTATTGATTATTCTACTACGCTAGATACGCACCGTTTATAAATTCTAAACACTCAATTTTATTAATGTTCTTAACGAGATAGTATTGATTATTCACTGCATTACAGGCGCATTAGAACAATGGTTTTTTTTATTGTGTGTATGTCTTCAAGGACGACCTGTGCACTGTGCAGGCATATTCAGTGACTTCTTTCTCTCCTGTACTTAATTTAAATTAATAATATCCCAGAACAGAGAAAAATCTTTTAAATTGCAATGCCTTTTAGCGAATCGTGATAGTTTCACTTTCAGCAATCTACCTGTAGCCATAAGGGTCTACTCCTATTATCTGACCTTTATCTGAAAATATATTAAAATACTTTCTTTATTTGTAGCACTTACACCAGTTAACAAAAAATGACGAGCTGATTACAGACATGTTAAATGAACAGATGAAATTCTCATTAGAATAAATTTAAAGATAATTTGAGAGTTTATGTAAAAGAACAAAGGGCACGCTTTCATCAAGACATAATGGAATTTGGAGACGTAACCAAGGCCAGTATACTGAAAGCATGATGGGAGATTATATTTGGGGGTTGATAATCTTATGATGAACATGGCAGCAAAACTGTACATTTTTAAATATTTGGACACTACAACAAATAAATCATAAATGTAGTATCGTTATCTTGTAATAAATCATTTCTATATAAGTGCCAACATATTTTAGGTATTTTTATTTATTTGTTTTTTTTTGCATTTTTTACACAAAATCAAATACAGAACCTTCTTTTGTTCTTATATTTTTATTTTTGGCTATAAAAGCAATAAAAATAAGGTAGGTATATATGTCCCATCTCCCATGCGCAAAAATGCTGTAGACCGGTGTTATAGCATTAAAATTGGATTCGTACTGACAAAATCACACTGGTCACATTTTAAATCCTTGGCAGGTTCCATGTCTTGGCAAAGTTGCGTATTTTGATGCTTAACAAAAACCTATCATTGTTTTTACTAGAAATGGCGCTTATTAATTCGTAAACACGCAAGAAACTACTAACATAGAATTAAAAAAGGTCAGGGTGCTACAAATTGGTAAATAGTCACTTGAGGTAGTGGATGGTAGTAGATTTACTTTGTCTTTTTTTCATTTTCATCTACTACCTACACTCTGCATATTCAACAGTTTTTTTTTCAAATAGTTGAAGATTTACCTCGAGATTTACCTTTTCATTTTGTTGCCAATATTTACAATGTAGTCAATCTACATTAACAAAAAAAAGAAAACGTACATGGAAAACAAATAGGGAGTGATTAAATAAACTGAAATGATAGAACAATGAAACGCAGGTATTCTCTTGATCCTTCAATCTAGAAATAAAAAAATCAAGTAGATAAGTATGTACCTTGAAAATTTAATAATAATAATATCTCGAATAATATTTATTACCATAAAATTGCACATTTGGGGCCTCACTTGCGGAACAGATTCGGCAAACGCCATCCTACACCATGAAAACGCCAATGAATATTTGTACAGAGCAAATGATGAAAAAAGAAATTATACCAGAGTAACATATCATTGCATAATATGGAGTGTAATAAACTGATGCATGAATATTAACAGATGAAAGAAAATAAAAGACAATATGACCAGGACAGCACTAAATACTTACTCAAATGAAAGGATGCAATAAAAGGCCAAACAATTGTGTTTAAACCTCGGTTTAAACTGACAAGTTGGTAAATTCTTAAGAGCGACTGTAATGCATTCTACGTCACAGCGATGTTGTAGCTAAATGACTGCTCAAGTAGTACTGCTTTATGTTGAGGTATAGTTAGTATATGTAAATATACTACTTTTGTGAAACAATTATACAAAATCAAGGATTAGCTAATCAAAACTTGTTGATATTCCTGAGAAAACAATGTCATGTTTCCCTAGTAGCCCAAATCTATGCCTAAGATTTAAAATGTGTAGGTATGTTAGCCCTAAATATGATCTTATTGTGCGGTGCGAGGTATGGTGGTTGCTTATCAGAAATGATTTGATGAAATAAAACTGCATTTTGGAGATGCCGCCTACTCGCCAATGAGAGCTAATTAGCGTCCTTTAGTTTATGAGTAATGTGGTCGTATTTAGATTCCATACACAAAAACGGAGACAAGATATCTAAAAGCTTAATACAATGCCAAGTTTAGTCCACCTATATATGGATAGTTCACAGAGGTGAATGGATCATTTGATATTGATAGTCTATTATAGACTAGCAAATGATCCATTCATCTCCGTAAACTATCCAATATCTCCTCTGCTAAGTCATAATGATCACGTTTTACCTTAGTATGTATTATATTCCTTCTACTACTGTTACGAAGCAACTATTATGATGTATTGTTGTAATACGAAATGTAGGTGCCAACTACTACTTGACTGCATCAAACTTCGATCCATTACAAGAATCGTACCTTTGCCTCTTTTCATTAACTTCACTTCTTCGTATTTCGTCTATTTGGGTTACCAACTGTTGCTCCTGTTCAACTTTCGCATTTTGCAGGGCGATGTGCTCCTTAATTTTTGTTGCTCTATTAAGTTCATCTTCTTCCCGCTGCCTGTCATTTAAGCAACGAGTTAGGTTGGCAAACTTATTTTTCTTTTCAATGTGAGATCTTGTTAACTGGAGATTGTCTATTTGCAACTTTTTATTGAGTGCTTCCAGCTCTTCCTTCTCTTTTTCCCGCCTGATATTCTGAAATTGGAATATAGTGCGTGTAAATACAATTAAAAAAAATCGTTAAGTTACCATTCTTTGCAGGAATGTATAAATCTCTATTACAAATGGAACTCAAAATTAGAAACTAATAAATAAATAAAATTTGAATGTGTAAGGTTATAAAAATTGTATATGTCATACCAACACAATTCATACCCAACGACTATCGTATTTCACTATATAGATGGAACTAAACTCAGTGGCGTGTAGATGTGTGAAGTTAGCACGGTAATGGAATGCAAGCACAAACGAAATGTTTTGTGCCAATCGTTTGTGCTTCGTTTGTGGTTGAATGTGCACGAAAAAGTAACCCAGCACATCCAACCCTTTTTAAGGTACTTTATTACACATTAGACTTTGAGAGATTCCACCCTGTATATACAACTTTGACGACACATACATTTTTGAGAGTTGGCAACCATGCAATTTCTAGGTGGGAAATAAACATAGATAATTAAGAGTATCTATGGAAATAAACAGACAGAGACAGTAGACACCCTTTAATAAAGTATACCAGTGCAAGGTTGTTTTATTAGAAAGGTTGTCTGGTAACTCTAAACCAATAGAATGCTTGCATTTTGAAGGCGGGAAAACGTCATCCAGAATTCGCATTTAAAATTGCTCATAGGTTACAATGGTAATAAAAGGGGTAAAAAATTTAGTTTTTGCAGTATATTTTTGGATTTATATGGGTATATGTATATGAGGGTGGATCTTATATTGGAAATCTTGGAAGTTTATCGACGTCCACCTTTGAAAGCAATCAAAGTATTGCAAAAATGAGTGTGGTGCGTTAGCTGTTTTACATTGCACGACGACTTGTGAAAATATAATCAAATTAATTTTAGAGGTGGAAATGGATAAAATTCCGCGTTCTACAAAATAGGAGCCACCCCTATGTACCAATACCTAGCCTTTGGGAATTAAAACTCTAATCATTCTTTAGCGGATGACGCCAAATAAAATGCTGTTGCGTTTTATGGAAAATGTATATTTATAGTAGGTACCTATGTACACAATGGTAACCGAGGTGCACACGGCGAGCTCTGTCGTTGGGGTGAGCTCAGATGCAGGTCTTCTGACTGATGGAGTGTGGCGCGAGGTCGAGCTGGCAAGGCGACCTGGTTCTGCAGGTGGAGAGCTTTTTGTTTCTTGAAGTGCAGTCGAAGCAGAAATTGCGTTGCACTTTGCACAGTTCGTGGCTCTGCTTTTAAACGTTTGCGCCCAGGGGCGCTACGCTTTCATCGGTTGGCCGTTTTGACCAATGAGGGCGCAGCACATTTTAATTTGCTGCCGGATGTGAAACATTTTCTTACCCATTCTTTAAGAACGGTAGGGTCCTTGGGAAACGTAAAAACCGAGATTTTATTTACACCAGGATGAGGAATTTTAGTGTTACCGCCACTCATCTAAAAAAATACTTAATTATAACATACAAAAGTGCATATAATTGATGAACTAACCTTTCAATCACGGCTATGAAAACCCACAAAATTCACAAACTAAATGTCTTTATATTGCACCAAACAGGTATCTACAGCTAAAATATGTCCTTATGCATTTCAAAATTCAACAAATTTTAAACAAATAAACTATAACTCAAGAAAAATAAGCACCCGCGCGACTACAAACAACGTTGAACGTCAATGTCAGAATTCTCGATGACGTATACATTCCGTCCCTCCCGCTTCCGCCCACATAGTTACCAGGTAACCTTTGAAATAAAATAACCTTGACCTTAGTGGGAATAAGCTGCATGCGCCATCTAAGGGTACGGTCGAAAATTTACTTACAATTTACGTGCATTCGGAGCATTGCAATTGAAGCACAGATTTAAACATTAAATCTGTGTTTATATATTCCGAAACGGGGGACATTAATGAATTTATTGTTCTGCATAACGTTATCCAAAATATACTTATTAGAAAGCAGTAGCTCCGATGATGAAGAGTTTATTGCAGTAACAAATTTGCGTAGAAGGAAAGTTCTCTTAGTCAGGATGCAGCATTATTTAGAAAATGTAGTGCATATATTCTGATTCCAGCGACGTCGGAAGTGAATAACGATTGGGGGGCGGGGGGGCAAAAATTAGCGACCATGGAGTCTGAAAGGTCCCTGCCATGCAAAATTGTGTAGGATTTAATGCAAAGCAGTGGATTTTTTAAGTGACCCTGACACTTGTTCATTTAATCAATCAAATAATGTATTTTTGAAAGAAAAGTTTTGGGAAAAATTTAAAAAAGTGTCGGAAATGTCTAGTTATATGAAATTGAGCAACTTCAGAGATACTTGACTCGATGAGAAAACCATAGCCATAGATAATTAATATTTTATTTAAAAAATAATGAACTAGCTAGAACATACAAAAGTTGCAAAAATTTTGTTCCTATTTATTGCACTATTGAGCATTGTAAAGAAAAGCAAGTATAAAAAATTAAATATATCCAAAAATTTTCCGCCTTTCCGCAGTTTTACTGACAAATTCTTTCAATATTAGCCTCTACTTCTACACTTTTTGTAATTTCTGCATGCACATGCAGTAGATGTGTTAGTTCCTTCTGAGTGATTTATCTACTCCTTCTTAGAGGGGGCGTGGCCCCCCTTGTGTAAAAACTGAGGGGGCGAGACGCCCCCTCTGACCCATACTTCCGACGTCGCTGTCTGATTCACAGTGCAATCGCATTGTTTATGTTTACTACAACCTTTACTCAGTTTACTCAGCTTTTACCACCAAATTGGTAGAAGCAACATAAGTATTTTGCAGCAAATCTCACGCATGCGTATTGATTGTTGCAAGATTTCAAAGAAGCATTCGCAGTAAATGTCAGCAATTTTATAACCGCCACAAAATTATTTTCAGTAAAGGCAGGGCGAGTGTTGAGACGCAGTTACGTGAAGTGACGCAGGGTGACTCTTGACTCACCACAGATTTCTGCAACCAAAGGACGTCTATACATCAGGAATGTTCGGACCATTGAGTAAGAAAACTAATAGAGGGAATCAAATGCTTGGCCAGACGTAGGAACCAAAAGTGGCCTCTGGCTGTGATTAAACTACCACACCACTTCCGTTATCATTAGCTCCTCACTTCAGTGGCGTAGAGATATAATTTTCTTTCCACTAATAGGAATAATAACAAAAAAAACATATAGGAGTAAAATACATGCTGGTGGTAAAGTAAACAAAATAGACAAAGATGGGAAAGTATGCAGATTTAATATAATCATTGATTACAAATCTAAATATACATCGATGTGTTCCAGTAGTACATATAAATTATAATTAAGGCCAGTTTACTATAGCCACTACAACTTGACAACTCCCTTAAATTTACTGTGTTGATCAATAGCTACAATTGACTGGTTGGTCTCAGGTTCATTACAACGGCAGAGAGATTCAATAATAATTTATTGTTTATTGGTCTCAAAATGTATCCGCACTCGTAAAAAAACTCACACATGATATCCATATTATAAACTCACACGTTTAGCGTAAAAACAAGTTTTGATAGTACCTACTGCATATTTGACGAGATATTTGATGAACATTTTCCGGTGCAACCTTTGGTCGAAATCACAGTCAATGAAGCGTTGTGAGCACAAAAGCAAATTTCGAGAGCTGTTCTTGAGATATTTACAATTAATGTTAGGTAACCATTTTGCTCGAAGTACTGGTTCGTTTGGAAAACTAAGAAACATAAACTAGGTATTGTACCTACAACCTCGCCTACAACATGATAAAAGACATGTCTTGCAGATGAAAGGAAATGCCCTGTTTCTTCCCTTTATGAGAAATTTTGCATGATACGCAGCTAATCATTCTCAGTTCACAAAATTGCGTGTGATAAATAATAATTCTAACTATTTTTACAAAATAATATTATTACATTATTCTCCACAAGTTGGGCATATTTTCTTTTGGTCTTGGGAACCTTCGGAATCAGAATCATAAAGCATGTGATATATTTCGGAAATGTCATCGGCGGTCAAAATATTGTTTTTGGGAAGCCATTTCGTCTTCTCAAAAGATTCATTGAAAAACAACACGGATGGCGAAATTGTAATAATAATTTTAATAGTTTAGCAAGAATATAAGTTTACATACCAACACAAAAAAAATATCCTATTCTGCTACACTGGGGTACACCTATAACCCGGATCTCAAATATCTCAACGATTCAAAATGCACAGCACGTCACCAATATCACACCTAAACTGCCGTCAGGTAGAATGAAACTACTGAGGCGCACATGACTGTAGCCCCAACTATTGCCGTTTGGGGCAACTTGCAAACAAGCATGGGGTACAAGCGTACCCCGCGTAGCATTCCAGGGTTAAAATGGCAAATTTAATAAAATTTGAATTTGGTGGAAAACTGACAGTGACAGGACCCGCGTGTTCATATGTCAAATAATGTCGGCCAAAATGTACCTTCACAGGGACCTATCCACGCGAGTGGCCTCTATCTGTGGCAACTTCCCTCTACAAAAATTCTTACCCCCTCTACCATTATAATCCCTCCATTAGTTTTCTAACTCAATGGTTCGGACGCAGCGTGACGTGGCGCAGTTTTGGTACGCCGTGAGTCTGAGTTAAAGTGTAGCTTTAGTTAATAAAATTTCATTATTTTTTTTATGAAGTCAACAAAAAAAATTTTGCTTTTACTTTTTTTTTCATCATTACGTTTTTTGTTCTATTTTCAGCAAACGTGATTTATGTTATGCAAGAATAATTAATATACTGCCCTGAAGTGTCGTTTGAGTCATCATCCATTTTTGAATATTTTTGAATAGATTTTTTGTTAATCTTACATTTTTAAAATTACTCGGTAAAACATTATATCATTTTGGTTCCAGATCCTTGAAATAGGGTTTTATTTATTTTTGGCAATTGTTTATATTGCTTGGTCGCGATTCAATAATTTCAACATATCTTGTTTTTCGTTCTACGCTAACTTCACACTACAAGAACACGGAAATAAAGTCATCCCGGCAACGTTTAAAAATGGCCACCCGATGACTATTCCCTCCAAAACTAAACAAGATCCCGCTTAAATTTGAAAAGTAGCATGTGATCAAACATCTAAGGTATATAATTGATTGTAAAAGCTCGGAAATTTTAGTCCAAGATAAATTACATTGCAAAAATAAACTTTGAAAATGGTAGAAGTAGCCTGGGAAAAAAAGAACTTACCAATAAAAAAAACTCAGCCGTCAAATTAATATCAAATTGTGTTGTAAAATTAATTGTTTGTAATGATGTGAATGTGTAACATAAAATTATAACATCACAAAAAGTAGCAGATAAACTTCAAGAGGTAACATATAGGTTAAAACCAAGTTTTGAGAATAATGGGTCAGGTACGCAGGTACCAAAATTCTAAGAAAGGGTGAAATACACAGGATGCGACTCATCTTTGGTGCAATAAAGTCCTTTTGTTAAAGGCAAGATGGAAAATTACATGTACGTACGTAATGTTGTACTCCTAATTTATCTGTTATCATCCCTTTTGACCACCCCGGTTTCACAGTACGGTAGTCTTTAATGTAAACCGTCTCCCCCACCTCAAACTGCAACATACGTTTGCCATGATGATACTTAATTTGTCTCTCCCTTGCCTTAATGACATCGGGAGTCGTTAAAAAATCAAAACGTGTTTTCACTTTCCTCGAAAACATTAATTTGGAAGGGGATTGACCCGTTGAGCAATGAGGAGTATTACGGTAAGAGAAAAGATATTTGCTTATAAAACTATTCATACCTTGTGTGTTGCTCTTATGATATAATAGTTTATTTAGAGCATATTTAAAAGATTTCACAGAATTTTCTGCCGCTCCATTAGTTGAAGGATGGTACGGGGCAGAGGTAAGATGTAAAATACCATTATTTTTACAAAAAACTTTGAATTCCTCGCATATAAATTGAGGGCCATTATCTGAGATAATGGTGTTTGGTAATCCAAACCTCGCAAAACAGTCCCTGAGTTTTTCAATTGTGCTTGCTGAATCTACTTTTGACATCTCATATACCTCAGGCCATTTAGAGTAAGAATCAGTTATTATTAAATACGTTTTCCCATGAAAAGGCCCAAGAAAATCGATATGTATTCTATCAAAAACATGTTTCCCTTCATCAAATTTGATTAAACACGCTTTTGCAGGGTTTGTTGAATTTGCCTTACAAGCGTCACAATTTCTAACATAGTTTTCAATGTCGGAGTCTACTCCGGGCCACCAAAGGTATTGCCGTGCTAAAGATTTCATTCTAACAACACCATTGTGTGCGCCATGTAATTCTTGTAACATTTGATTGTGGAATTTAGGTGGTATTAAAACCCGATAACCCCACATTATAATATCATTATCAATACTAAGTTCCAACGCCCTTCTATAGTATGGTTTTAAATCATCGGAAACTTGACTTGGCCAATCGCCATCCCTAATATACCTAAAAACTGAACTTAATGTAGTATTTGAACGAATCTCTTTCCTAATATCACTAGACCTAACTGGAATGTTGTCTTCAACTAAAAAATTAAAATAATCATATTCGTCTCCTTGATTTTCAGTGACTTTTAATGGCATACGCGAAAGACCATCAGCACTATTATTAATCCCTTTAATATGTTTGAATGTATAGTTGAACCCACTAAGAAATAACGCCCACCTCTGCAGCCTTCCCGCTGCCATCTGTGGTATTCCCCGGTTTTCCCCGAAAAGTGCCATCAACGGTTTATGATCAGAGCCCAGGATGAAATGCTTCCCCATTAAATATTGATAGTATTTCCTGACACCCCAATATATCGCTAATGCCTCCTTGTGTATAGTTGAATAATTTATCTCATGTTTATTTAACACCCTAGACGCAAAACTGATTGGTTTTTCTGTTCCATCCTTAAAGACATGCAGCAAAACAGCGCCTAGCTCCACGTTTGATGCATCACATACTAATTTTAGCACCATGTCAGGGTCAAAATGTGCCAACCCAACGTCTGAACAAATTGCATCTTTTGATTCTAAAAACGCCTTCTCACACTCTTTTGACCATTTAAACTCTGACGTCCCTCTTAATAGTTTGTACAAAGGCTCTACTAACGTTGATAAATTTTCGACAAAACGCCCGTAATAGTTTATCATACCTACATAAGCTCTAACCTCTGAAACGTTACTAGGTCTTGGACATTCCTTCATTGCCTTTATTTTGTCAGGGTCTTTGCGTAAACCCTCCTTGTCAATGATGTGCCCTAGATATTTAATTTCCTTTTCAAAGAATTTACATTTTTTTAGGTTTAATTTGAAACCAGCTCGAGAAAGTTTATCAAAAACCAGCTCCAAATTTTTTAAATGCTCTTCGTGACTACTCCCTGTTACCACGATATCGTCTAAAAAATTTATAACCCCCGGGATACCCAACAAAACCTTTTCAACAATCTTTTGAAAAATACTACATGCTGGTTTTGTACCACACGGCAGTCTATTGGGTTTGTATATGCCCCGATGTGTGCTCCAACACAATAATTTTTTTGTCTCCTCAGTTAATTCTAGCTGATTGTACGCATTTGCAAAATCTAATTTTGTGAATTTCTCCCCCCCTTGTAATGCTGCAAAAAGCTCCTCAATACGAGGCAGAGGGTGTTTTATATCTTGCATAAATCGATTAACTGTTATCTTATAATCTGCACAGATTCTGATCTTACCATTACCCTTCACCACCGGAACCAATGGTGTAGCCCATTTAGAATCTTCCACCAATTCAATTACTCCTCTTTCCTCTAACTCGTCAAGTTCTTTGTTGATTGCTTCCTTGAAAGAAAAGGGTACTGAACGTGGTTTGCAAAACGTAGGTTTACAGTTTGGGTCAACCTGTAATTCAATTTTATCATATTTATAGTGCCCTAATGTCCCGTTAAATAAATTTTGATATTTTCCTAATAAGGAATCTAACTGAGAAACTGGGCTTAATGTGTTTATAACAGCATGCTTCTCAATCTTAAAATTAAAAACATTCATCCAATCTCTACCTAATAAAGGTGTTGAACCGTTCTTAATAACTATTAGCCTGCATTTCGCTGAAATATTGCCATACTGAGCTGTTACTGAAATTTCTCCCAAAGGAGTTATAATGTTACCGTCATATGTTTTTAACCTAACATTAGTTGAACAGAGTTTACAATCTTTAAATTGACTACTGTAAACAGCTTCTGGCAAAACTGATATTCCTGCTCCCGAATCAAGCTCCATTGACAATAGTTTGCCTTCAATAACCATTTCAATTTTAATAGGTTTAACATTGTTATATTTGTTGGGTCGTTGGAAATAAACGGATGATGTCGGATTGTTATTTATTAATTGCACAAACATATATCACCGACATTATTCTACATCAATTTTGTACAAGGCCATAATCATCGGCTGTGTCTCTACTCCCCTATACTAATACCCTGTATAACACCTCCTCTCCTTAAAAGAAATAAATTTACAATATGTATAAGCATAAAATTTACAAATTCAAACGGATAGGAGGTCGAGAAACCCTATTTGATCTTCGTAAAGGTGGTTCCGAATCTATTATAATTTTACTTGTTTCGGGCACTGATACAACTGGAGCATCTGAAAGATTTTCATTTACTGGTGGCGTACTTGCCTCCGTTTCAGAAATGATTGAACTGGCACTACCCTGAAATTGATTGTCAGCTGGGTGTGTATCCTTTTCTTTTGCAATCTGCAATTCGTCATTATTATGAAAAGTACGAGAAGTGGACATCGTCTGACCTGCAATCGGATCGTTAACATAATCTCTCACTGCATTTGTGATAGGCATATTTTCGCCAATTGTCCTAATTTGATTTATGTGTCGTTTGTAAAATTTACCATTATCTAACTGAATTAAATAATGTAATTTACCTAACCTTTTTTGTATTCTGCCAAATTCCCATTTATTGCTATGATTGTAGTCACGCACTGCCACTCTTTTCCCTACCGAAATTTCTCTAACTCTAATATTGTAACTAGGTTTTGTATTAACTTCTAAATCTGGTTTAAGAAAATCTAAACGTGAGCGAATTTCTCTTCCGAACATTAAATAGGAAGGACTGACTTTCGTTACTGAATGTTCAGTCTTTCTATAATGTAACAAAAATTTTAGTAATTCTCTTTCACAATCATTTGCATGTCCCTTCATTGCTCTTAGAGCCTGTTTAAATGATTGTACATATCTTTCCGCTAATCCATTTGTGCTTGGATGATACGGAGCACTTAACTTATGAATAATACCGTTTTCTTGTAAAAACCGTTTAAATTCGTATGAAGTGAATGTACTCCCGTTATCTGACACTAAAGTTCTCGGAATTCCAAATGTAGTAAAAATTTTTCTACACAGAGCAATTGTATTTGTTGTCGTCATATCTTTAACTACATGAATTTCTGGCCAGCGTGTGTATGCGTCGACTAAAATAAAGTAATATCGATTATAAAAAGGCCCTGCAAAGTCCACATGTACTCTGTCAAAGGGAGCACTAGCTGGTTCCCAAGGGTGAACTTGCACTTTTACTGGGTCATTTTTGTGTTTTTGGCAATTTACACAATTCTTAACAATCGCCTCAATGTCATCCGATATTCCGGCCCACCACACATAACTTCGTGCTAAGGCTTTCATCTTTGCCACCCCAAAATGCGTTGCATGTAATTCTTGTAGGATTTTGTACTGTAATGTTTTTGGAACAACAACGCGGTGTTGTCTAAATATACTCCCACTTTGTAATGTAAATTCTGACTGATCTACATTAAAACGGAATTTTTTGTCAACCTCTGTCCCTGATTGCAACCCCTTTAATAGTGGTATTAATGCATTATCTCTCTCAGTTGCCTTGGCTAGTTCCTGTAATTTAATGGGTAATGTTTCTATTTGATTAATTTCGAATGCATCTGGTTCATCATAAAGGTAATTATCAGTACTTTTTGTAGGTAACCGCGACATAGCATCCGCATTTGCGTGCTTTGTTGTATTTTTATATTTAATATTGTATTTAAATCCCTGTAAAAAGAGTGCATAATGCTGCATTCTTGTGGCAGTCAAAGATGGTAAACTTGCTACTGGTGAAAAAATATGTACTAGAGGTTTATGGTCTGTATATAGTGTAAAGTTTCTTCCAAACAAGTAATAAAAGAATTTTTTTACTCCATATACGATACTGTATGCCTCCTTGTCAATTTGGGCGTATTTTTGCTGTACTGTTGTTAAAGTTTGTGATGCAAAACAAATTGGTCGTTCAGATCCGTCTGGAAATGTATGTGATAGTACAGCCCCTACTGCGTACGGGCTGGCATCTGTAGCTAACACCAATGGTAGTTTTGGGTCAAAATGAACTAAAACTTTAGGTGATTGTATTTGTGATTTCACAATTTCAAAAGCTTTTTGACACTCCTTATTCCATTTAAAAGGTATATCTTTTTTTAACAATTTATATAATGGATGCAATGTAGAACTTAAGTTCTGCATGAATCGACCGTAATAATTTACTAACCCTGCAAATGCACGTAATTCGGTTTTATTGGTAGGAATCTTTACTTTCTGTATTGCTTCAATTTTTGCCTTAGATTTATGTATACCCACTTTATCAATTACATAACCGCAATACTCAATTTTATCTTTAAGAAATTCACATTTTGAAAGGTTTACCCGTATATTATACTTTGCTAATCTACCTAGTACTAACTCTAATCGCTGAAAATGTATAGTATTATTAGGTGCTGTAATTTTAATATCGTCTAAAAAGACTGTAACCCCGTCAATATCTTGTAGTATTGTTTCTATTGTGCGTTGCCATATGGCTGGTGCACTAGCTATACCAAACATTAGCCTAGTACTTTGGTAAAGCCCTTTTGGAGTACTTAGTGTTAGATATTTTCTATCTTCGGGACATACTTCTAACTGTAAGTACGCTTGTTGTAAATCAAGTTTTGTGAACTTATCTCCCCCAGCTAAACTCAAAAATAATTCTTCTACTGTTGGTAAGGGATGCTCGTCTACAATTAAATTTTTATTAAGTGTAATTTTGAAATCTCCACAAATCCTAATTCTACCATTAGATTTTACAACTGGGACAATAGGTGTTGCCCATTCTGACGTATTTACTTTAATTAACACTCCCTCTTTCTCCAATATTTGTAATTCTTCTTCTACTTTGGGTAGAAGTGCATAAGGAACTTTACGAGCTTTAACAAAAATCGGTGTTGCACCTTCTTTCACTTGTAACTTTGCCTGCAAATGTTTAATTTTTCCCATATTTTGCTCAAAAACTGACTGATATTTTTGTATCACTTTATCTAATGTATTGGGGCATGTTTCTAGAGATACATGAGAAATAGTTGCTAGATCTAATTGTAATTGTCTTATCCATTCCCTACCAAGTAACGGTTTTCTATCAGACTTAACTATGTATAAATTCAAAATTTTCTGTACAGTGTTGTATGTAACAGTTACCGATACAAATCCTACAACGTCCAATTCTCTTTTACAGTAAGTGACTAATTGTAAGTTTGTATTTTCTACTTGAATATTGGGGAATAATTGTTTAAATTGAGTTACATTAATTATACTCACTGCAGCTCCACTATCAACTTCAAATTCAACTAGTGTACCATTTAATTTTAGCGTTAACAAGAATTTTTCTCTAAATGTAGTATGTTCAGTTTGTAATGTGAAAATTTCTTCTACCTGATTCGCCTGTTGTTTCTGTTGCCTTACTTTCATACATACTTTGCTTACGTGACCTTGCCCTTTACAAAGACTGCAATAGAGCTTCTTCTTTCTGCATTTAGATGCTACATGATTACTATCGCCACACCTGTAACAAAATATTTTGTTAGTATTAACATCTGAACTTGAAAATGGTTTTACAAAATTTCCACTTTTTGAAAACTTAAGAGTTTTTATATGCTGGTGTAATGGATTGTACTGTCCCACGGTGAGCATTGTGTAGTTGAGCTGCGTCTCTTTGAGACACCTCCATACTCTTCGCAACTTCTACTGCCTTTTCTACGGTTAAATCCTTATGTTCCAATAAACGACTTTGTATTGCTTGGTTCCGCAGTCCAAAGACAAACTGATTACGTAGTGCCTTCTTAAGATATGTTCCGTAATTGCACTTGGTCGCTAACTTTTGCAAGGATGTTAAAAAATCTTGTGTACTTTCGCCTTCGTGCTGTCTTCTCTGTAGAAATCGAAATATCTCCGCTATCTCCAATGGTTCCGGATTATAATGAGTTTTCATATAATTCACCAACTCTTCGTAAGTTTTTTGTACTGGTACTTCTGGTGATAATTTGTCACACAAAACGTCATATGCGTCTGGACCCATGTAATGTAAAAGGTATGGTGCTTGCTTATTCCTTGGTACTCCGAACACACTAAATGCGCTCTCCAACCTCATTAACCATCTATCAAAGTTTTTAGTTGTATCGTACGTTTCAATGGAGAATACTGTATGTACGGCATGTGAAATCGGTTCTTGGGTAGAAGATGTAAGTGTAGTCCCAGAACCTTCCGTAGTAGCCATTGGGCTTGTAGTTGTATTTGTCGTAGCCGTTGAACTTGTGGTCGTAGTCATGACTTATGTAAATTCTTTTTCAATGTGTATGCCCTTAACCTTACTTTTGGAACGCACCAAACGTGATCTTGTAAAATGTATATGTATTAACGTAGATTCGTATTTTTCGTCCTCGTCGCCACTGTTATATTTGTTGGGTCGTTGGAAATAAACGGATGATGTCGGATTGTTATTTATTAATTGCACAAACATATATCACCGACATTATTCTACATCAATTTTGTACAAGGCCCTAATCATCGGCTGTGTCTCTACTCCCCTATACTAATACCCTGTATAACAAACATATTTGTTAGCAGTCACAAAATACATATCAATAAAATCTAAATTAAGTCCATGCTCACCTTGAGAAGTGGTTGGTTCTACATAGTTATTACCAGCCCTACAAACCTTAGCTAAATGGCCCACCTGCTTACAAATTTTACATTTGTATTTCTTGTATTTACAAAATTTAAAGGTATGACCGCCATTGCCACAGCTGTTGCACTTTGCCTCAGCTCTTTTGTTGCCTTCTCTTTCATGCTGGTCGGTACCCTGGTTCGTGCTGCTCCGCTGGCTCGTCCCTTGGTGTGGGTTGCTACCCTGCCTCTTACTGGGCCCCTGGATTGCTGGTGTATTCTTGTGCACTGAAATTGCATTTACACTAGCGACACTGCGAGTCTGTACCAACGCTGCTTCTTTCTTAAGAGCTACTTCCACGATTTCTGAGAGTTTGCTTGTGTGTTCTTGTTCGCACACCTTGTCTAAAATTGGGCCTCTTCTTAAAGCTGCCACAAACCTGTCCTTCAGTATTTCATCCAGATTCGCACCAAATTTGCACTCCATGGCCTTGGTTTTGATTCGGATGAAGAAATCTTTAATCGGTTCGTTTTCTAATTGCCTCAAGTCATAGAACTCGACGCGCTCCTTAAACACAGATACTTTCTTGGTAAATTGATTTTTAAGAATTGTGCAGAGATCACTGTATGATTTAGCATTAGGTAAATCGGGATCACACAACCCTTTTAAGGTACTGTATGCGTCGTCACCAATGGCTGTAATGAGAACGGTCACTTTCCTGTCATCCTCGACGTAATTTGCCAAAAAGTATTGCTCCATCCGCTCTTGGTACGAACACCAGTCGTTTCCAATCTTGTATTCGGCCAGTGTCCCTACTTGACCCCTCAAAACATTTACTTGCGCCATTTTGTCTTTCCCGCGTGTGTCTTTTTCACCGGAACGCGGATACCTTGCCTGTTGCCGTGTAGGTCGTCTACCTCGTCGCCAATTATGTAATGTATGCCTTATACTTACACCACGAACTTATGTATATGTTCGTGACTTATACGCACCTTGCATATAAACAACAAAAATGAGCAAAACCTTTATTACACACAACTCAACAAATAATGACAGCCATGTTGCTGTTACACCCTGCATGCAACTTAACTTGACTTATTTCCCTAGCTAGATTAAGATACAGAGATGCCACAGCCTTGTAGGCAAACTTAACTAAAAACAAGATACGTGGAAATTATTGAATCGCCACTCATTTATCGCACATAGATTCTAAACTGAAGAGCTTTGATTAGCGTAATCCGGCTCCTGCAAGATGGGTAGCCCGCCCCTGGTTTCGGGGTTTCGAGCCTACAGTTGAATGTCGACGACAATCACGGAATTAGGTGTCGTAACTCAATTTTGACTACAGTTTTTTTCCACCCCCCGTGGCGGCTTCATTCACGGAGAAAATTGTTAGTAATAAACAACAAGTCAGTACATACATAAAACGAATCGGTAATTTCCACATATTAAAATAAAATGAAAACTTATATGAATGTTACTTCAGGGACAAGATGCCAAACGTAACCCACGTTCGTGCTTTTCTAGATGGCGAGGCAGCTTTTCCCCACCTAGAAATTGCATGGTTGCAAACTCTCTAAAATGTGTGCATCGTCGTAAGTTGTATATACAGGGTAGAACCTCTCAGTGTATATTTATCAATCAACGCTTTTAGCTTTGATGACGGCCACTAGGGAAAGTCAAAAATAATGGATAATTTGCTTCACGCCGAAAAAGCTAAACATAAGTACCTACCTTAAAAATTGACCATAAGTTTGGGAGAGGGCGTTCAACGTGAACGTGAACCCCTGGCATACCAACTGTATTCAGTATTAAGTGCTATGTAGGTTGCCTAAACACTCAATCGCCTTCGTGTGGGCTAATTTTAAAAATATACGTAAGACCTTTTATCCATGGATATTACCAACTTATCAACTCATTGATAAATTCAATGGTTTAGTTAATTAACGATTTAAAACAACGCCAGCGCAAGCAATCGGCAAGATTCCATCCCCGATGTTTGTTTGGTAAAGAGCGCCTTTTTGATTAGAGAATCAAGAAAAGGGATGGCCAACATGAACCAAAGAGATTTTCATGGCACCTGTTTGTATACTAAGCACAGTTCGAAATAGTTATTTATATAACAAGAGCGCGAAGTTCAATTTCGCGCATTGAGACTGAAGGTATTTTGACGAGGCGAAGCCGAGTCAAAACATCAGTCAAATGCGCGAAATAACTTCGCGCTAGCGTTATATACAATATTTTTTCTACAACTGAACCGATTGTTAATTAAATTTACTGTTTAAGTTCAACTTTGTCACGTGCGCGAAATACTTTTTTTCACTGTTGACGATTTCGCGCACGTTGTCAATAGCAACCTTACCTATTAATTAACCGTTTAAAAATCTAGTACTTCGCGTTTCGAAATCCGTCAGAAAATGACAGGTTTTTTTGACAGTTGTAGAAAAAAGTATTTTTTGTTTTGGTAAATTATTATTCAATTTAAATTTTTTAATTTTACATTACTTTGCCTGTGGTCACCTTTTGTCCGAGACTGTAATACTTACCATTGAATACCATTGAAGAGAGTGTATTTGCAACATGAACTGGGAATTATGTTTATTCCAATGAATACAGGTATAGGTGCAGTAGTCAGAGACTTGTAGTAACAAGTCTTTGGCAGTAGGTAGTGCACACAAGATAAATAAAACTCTATCTATGTCTGTATGCATTAAATAGTTAACTTTATTAATTTGTAATTGTTTTATAAAGTTTTATATGAATTGAAAAGCTAAATCAACTGTCAAAAATAAATCCAAATCAATATATGGCGAAAAATACATATGGCAATAACCATGTAACATGAATAATAGAAATTTGAGTTGGATTTATTTCTTTTTTTAAATTATGTTAAATATAGAATCAAGACAATTTGTTTTTTGAACCCCAATATTACATTATTGTTACAATAGGTAGATTATGTGTTTTATTGAGCATCACCAATTCTGCTCAGCCGTTTCTTTTCCATAAGTCTAATTAAATCTTATTTATAAATTGTAAATATTAAATATGTAGTCACAAACTGTACAGCTTAATGTCTCGATATTTAAGTGGTTGGATGAGAACACGCAACCGGTTGTAAAAAATATAAAGACCAGCAAAATTGACAGTGTAAAAATAATATGATTACTTCTATGTACGGATAATAAAAGTACACGCATTCATTGTCTAATTTAATCATATGTTTTTACATTATCGTATTACAACTGTTAAAGGGTTATAAATACTTCAATTTAATTAGGTATCTACTATATATAATATATGTATATAATATATATTTTAATAATTTTACTCTATAATAATTTGTGTAAAATGTAATTAAACTGACATGCAACAGAGTATGGTTTGGATTATCTTATATAATAAATGGTGACTCATGATAACTGGGTACTCGCACCATGCCCAAAATCAACCCTATCTTTCTACAGCGGACCGCTTTAATACTGTATTGAAGCATAAGCTAAGGTACTGCAGTTCTACACAATATCTTCATCCTCAATAATGTACATATTGCGGATAATTACAAGCAGTTTTTGTAGATTCATTAGATAGTATAGTACAAAGAGATAATAAATCATTGAATAAATTAATACCTTATAATCTAAAATATATACTTAGATAGTACAATAAATAAATTATCGAATCACCTGGTATGACTAGAAACATATTTTGTAGATTTTACAAATAATAAACGGTTGTATTGGTCCCAACCAAGGAGAATTAAGAAGAAGAGAACTATTATTTTGTGGTTTGTTAGGAAATGTACCTCTCTTCAAAAATCTCTTGCCTTCATCCTCCTTGATCCCAGTACATTAATGTTTGTGAGATTATTATTAAAAGTAATGTAAGAAAGGCAATGGACATGCTTGCGGTTTAATTGGATTTGTGTATATAGTGTTTCCTTCAAGAATGCTGTGAAGTTCTTAAGAAATTAAATGCCAATTATTTATCTATACCTAGGTGTAATTTATTTTTTCTTAAAATAAAAGAATGTTTGTATGGATTAAAATTAAAACTTTGCAAGGTAGTAATAAAAATAGTTACCATTACTATAAAATATGTTATCACAATATTATTTTAGAGCTTCCATGGAAAACATTCTCTTATTTGAGTCAAAATCTGCGAATTAACGAAAATATATTTGTGTAGTGTATAAAAGGCTTCAATTAGGAACTTTTAAGAGATCCACAAAAATAACACATCTGTATGTAAGAACCTAAGAATTTACTGATATAACACAGGATATGTTATTCACTTCACTGGAGTACTCTTGAAGTAACTCTTTACACAACGAAACCCAAAGCCAAAATTTGCTGTACCTATAACAATTGTCACGTTCTTGTGAATGATCCATTCTACCATTATATTCCTACCTTGAATATGATTATACCTATCTTTATAAAATGGTTCTAGAACTAAGAATATGATCAAGCCTATGTCGGTGAATTGGCATCTAAAATATAAAAACAGCTTTAAACGTTATTGACAGGTACTTCTCTCATTTTTGACACAGAAAGAACCGTACATTTATATAAAACGGTGTGTCATGTGGACTTTTATTTACAGCATGGGTTATGATAGCGAGGGATGCAATCCGCTGTGGACGCGGACCATGGTTACATTATTATACTAGTAGAAACACGATGTACGCCCTCTCACGATGAGAACATGTTACACAAATAATTGCAAAAACATACCCTGTATCCTAGAATCACTTCGCTGCGTTTAAGATTGATTATTATCCACTCGTACTGATTGGGGATACTATAATTGAATGATGACTAGACTACATAATTCGGGAAGCTGTTGCTCACCCGCGAGCATTTAGTACGTTTAGTTATATTTACTTCCAGCGCTGAAGGAATGTAACAAGCAAGCGTGGAATGCTACTACTAATAAAGAAGAATATAAATGTAGTGTGTGCTATAAAGTAATAATTTACCATTTAATCATCGCAATGTTATATGAGACGAAAGGAAAATAGTAGATAAGTGTGCATAATTCGGACTAAGAAAATATATTTTCGTCTGCACAAAGAAATTAAAACAATTAGATTTAATTTTCGAATTTATAAAATGAGTATATGTCGCGATATATGGGTATAATTACCTTAAATTACACACTACATAGTATTTAGCAAAATATTTGCTTGCAATATTTGTCGAAAACAATAAATATAGGTACAAAATAAGTACGCGAAGTACTATTGTGTATCAGTCGATCAGTTAATATTGCACAATTGGATCTTAGCCCAACAAAAAAAAACGTATCTAAGAATATTAAATATTCAATAAATAGTATAATATATATTTTTTATATGTTACTTAATATTTATATATATTTATATGTTCTTATACCTAAATTAGTTCTAATCATATTAATTAATATGCAGCGCAAGGCTGGATAATTTGACTAGAGTGGCCCAGCCGAGTACTCGCTTACTGTCTCCCCGGTCTGAGACTGACTAACGTCCCTCAAAAGCATCAACTAACTTCTCAACAACTATTTGGCAAAAACGACAACTTGCATTTTGATATATAAACTTATATATTAGATAAAATTCATAAACTGCAAACCCATTGTTCTAAAATCGATATAGGTTTTAACCTGTACGGTTTCGCGCCACTCTCTGGTCTACCTTCTAAATTGCTATTATCTAAAATGTACAGATTAATATTATAATTGGTACGTTTGTAACGATTATGTTACTTAAAGTTTAGTAGAAATATATTATACTAATTTGTATAAGTATTATTAATTTATGTATAAATATGTCATAGCTTTTCTTAAATATAGCAGAGACACTTATACATCACGTATCTCTGTGAGTTTGGACTCCGAGTAAGTCTTTTGACTAGAACCACTGTGAACTTCTGCCTGGACTAATTTGGCATCTACTCGAAGGGCAGCATTACCTACTCTAATGATTTCGTATTCAATTACAGTTTAACACACAATACATACAATTTAGCGTAAATGTCAAAATAGTAATAGGTACATTTCACGAACGAGAAGACAAAACGGCCTGTACAATCAAACACTGATTTGTTATTTAATCACAGCCCATTTGGAAATTCTCGAATAATCAAGTGGACAATGCTGCCTAAAATAGCAATATTCCAGGCAAGTTCAAAAAAGGAAACCTTATCTTAGTAATAAAATGTGGCTATGACTAGTATACTAAATGGCTGATGGGTGCAGCTAAATTGCTTGCCGGGCTCTGAAAGCCAAGGTTAGTATGGTCGGTTTGCGTCCTTGGGCCTTTTTAGTTGCACTTTAAGTCTCTTCATTCCAATTTGAAAGCCGTTCATGGCTTGGATGGCTGCTTGGGCACTTGCTGGGTTGTCAAATGATACAAACCCTGCAATGAAATTAAATAGTTGATACTAATCTTTTCGAACAGAGAGAATGCATTCAACGAAAATATTAACCAACGTATTTAAAAAAGGGTGCTGCAGTATTGACTAACCCAAATTAGCTAAGCAGTATAAAAAACGCTTACCGAAACATTTGCTTTGGTTAGTGGCACGGTCGATGAATACTTTTGAGCTGATCACATTTCCAAAAGGAAGAAACATTTGCATTAGTTCAGCATCACCAAATTCTTGAGGTAGGTGATAGATAAATAAATTACAACCTTCGGGTCCGGAGATCGAGCAACCTACACAAAAACATTGGATAAGTGATTTGGTCCAATTTCTGCGTGAAATGAAGTAATTGAAAATTTTTATTGCATCAGATATTTACTGAAATAAAAGTTTTTGAAAATATTAACCCGTGCTTAAATTTGGAAAATGTAATTAGTTAAATGCATCTAAATTAATTAATAAAAAAAAGAGCAATAAGAAAATGGTATTTCTAAATTGAGCACATCAACACAACAATGAAACAGTGGCGCTGGACTGTAGCCAATGCTGTACATTCAGTGCAGTATAACATCAAACACAAAGGACTTGATGCAACACCATAGATATGTAACATTTAATAAACGACAATAAATTTATTATTGAAGCTTGTTTACTAAGCAATGTTTCAATTTAATTGGGGGTGTCGTGATGAGATCTAGGTATATATTTAATATTTAAAATTTATGATCGATTTTGAAGCCTTACCTTCCCTCTGCGTGGGAACAACTGCAGACATGGGTGGAGGAATTGCCTGCGGGATCTGGCCGTATACCGCAGGATAAGCTGCTGACAAATGTGAACAAATCACACCAATACTTTCTCCATCAATGCAACTGTGCATGCTACATTAATTACTGAGCTTTTCCACTTTAATACCGTTTTCATAGAAAAGTTTAATGATTAAAAATTTGAAAACAGCGAGAAAGAGGATAAGTGATAAGTGAGTTTATAAACGTTTTCTTAAATAATATTATGTTAAATAAGTATTTCTGAGGTTTCACCTAACAATATCAACGAAATTAAATTAAATTAAATTAACGAAAACTTTCATTGATAGTTATGTAATTATATGTAGCAGTAGTACATGTTGCAAAATTTGTGGTGGTACGTTATATTAGTATGATTGCTAGTTATGCAATTTGTTAGATGATAGTCACTTATTTAATAACAATGAATATATAAGTACATTGGGTGTTCAACATTTGACCAATAGGAAATAAACACGTACATATATTAAGGCTACAATACACAGTAAAGCAAAATATTAGTAGGTAAAATACAATACACTACAGCCAATACCAAACTAAAACATTTAGCAACTATTCTCTCGACAGAACAAGCTGAAACATACACAAAGCTCTAAAGGAGAGTATAAAACACACATAGAGGTTATTGATTACATCAACTATAAAGCCTACTATTAATATGTTTTCATGACGACACAACTTCATTACAGAAGGAAACTTACCCACGCCAGGATACGGTTGCATTCCAGGATATGCCGCATGTTGAAGCGCAGCCTCACCATTAGGCAGTCCCTGCGCTGGAATGGACAGATGAAGCGCATCTAAATTTCGATAAGTTTAGTTATCAGTCACAGATCAACCTGTTTGCTAAGAGCAAGTTATCTCTCACATTTTGCATTTGCTTATGTTAAAAAGGGAGGTTTCAATCAAAGTTGTTCCACCATATAAATATTTAAAAATACCATGAACGAAAGAGTATAGCTGTATCCCGTGTGTATATTATATATAGTGTGTAACACTGTAAAAATGGGCGGACGAGAGGAAAAAAACAAACATTTTTTCCACAAAACTGAACCTCCAAAATGTTTCGTTTGGAAGCAGTCTCAAGTAGATTGCGTTTCTTCTGTATTTTTTTCTCTGCTATCATAACACAAGGACGAAATTAACGAATTTGGCTAGGTTTTTGAGTATACTTTTTTGAGATACCTACTTAATTGTTACCCCCTGTATGATAAATGAATATTTTTAATTGTATATCATGCATGATGCCATCATAGTCATAATCAACATTTATTTTTTTCATCCATCATTGCTGGGATTAGGGTCGATAATTTTTTAAAACATATTTATAGGTTAAAAAGAACTGTTAACAAAATGTGCAGAGCAACTTGCTAAAAATAGAAGATGGTGTACTTACGAGCAGGATACGTTTGAGGAATACCATTAGTATATACAGCTTCGGTTCCTCCCGGCTGTCCGTTAGGTGTTTGTGCAGCTATATTGAAAGTTGGCATGGTAGGTGAAGGCAAGCTAGGGATGGTTCCATTTACTGGTTGTCCAGAACCTGTACCTATACCCACATCTGTCAAAATTGTAAACATGATGAAAATAATAACTACAATCGAATATATATACCGGGTGGAGACTTTTTCCAGGGTAATAACAAACTATCTCTAATATCAATCAAAACTCTATGTAACAAGGCCTTAGGTTAAACACAATTTAGGAGTATGTTCGACGCAGCGGCCGTTGAGAGTTTTGACGAAAGTATTAAAAAAAAAAGTGTGTAGTTAAACCTCCATCCGGTATATCATGATTATTATAGATAACATAATATAGCTCACCTGATGTGGGCGGAACGACGGAGTTAGCCATTCCGTTAAGAGTGGCATGTGGAATTTGTGTGGCTAATGCAGCCATTGGATTGATGTATGTACCCTGTGCAGTCGCTGCTGCCATTAAAGCTGCTTGTTGCTGTAATTCCAACAGGGAAACATGACGGTATTATAATTGTACTTAATAGGACACGCAGAAGAATTTCAATTTCCAAAGTTACTAAGCTACATATTATTCTTAGAAATGTGTTATTGTATTTATAAGTATTCGAAACTTTACATTTTAAAACTATTTTGCATGCTTCGTAGAATAGTTAATTGTTTCCAAAACTTACCTGTGCATAAGCTCCATAGGCTCCAAACTGGTTGAACACGAAAGGGTTGAGGAGACTCATATTTCCAGCCATCTGCTGCATGCGTCTCAATTGACGTTCCTTTTCAGTATCTGCAAACTTTACCACTAAGCTGGAAGAAGCTCCCTGCAAAGATTATCCACTTTTAGCATTCGGAATGATACCTATTACAGTTATTAATTTATGTCGCAAGTATACCAAATACCGAATATTTAAAAGTGTATCAAACAATTTTTATGCTTTCATTGCGTCGAGTTTTTGTCGTAACCCCTAAAAAATTTCATTAATTATGTCAAAATGACAACAGTAATACGAATAATAAGGGTTAAGTAACTCAACAAAGCGAATAACCCATTTCATTAACAAGGGAAACCTAATCTTACTATGTATGCTGGACACGTTCCAGGATTTCTTGCACGTGGGATACCAAAGTGGAAACAGATGTGGGTATTCGCAAACCACTAAGAAAAACTGTTTGCATTCCTATCGTCAACAGGTGGTCAGTTATTTATTTTAGGATAACATTTCAACCTCAATTAATTTTGCAAGTATTTTGTACGTTGAAACGTACATCTATATCAGATGCTTCTACGGCATCCTATGCGATTTGAATATTAATATTTATCACCGCAAATTTGAAATGCGTCGTTTTTATGACCCTAGAAGAGAGAAAACTGTTCATAAATACAACAGAATAGCGAAAGGATGATTGAAAAGCTGCAGGATTTTTCTGTGCACTCATCTGTTTAAATTCGTCGAGGTTTATGCGTGCCTCCTTTTCGTGAATTTTAGTTATCGTAGGCTCAAAGTGGTTCTAAAAATATTTTATATAAAACTGTCAATAAAGCAGTTTTGAAGAAAAGCTCCTACTGATCCAAGGAACCAATTCAATCGCGTAGGTTCAAATGTAGAGCAGCGGCGTGGTCACAATCTCGCTCTGACAAGGGCTTTCCTTTACACCGCTGTTCGCACAAATCTATTAGAGATCGTTAAATCCAAACCCGGCTGGAGAGCGCCATCCAATTCCGCGTGTCTCCTCATCGGATCAGCGCTCCGTCGAAGAGACATTTTGTTATTGAATGCCGCAGGATGCTTGGGGACGAGGGAATTTAGAGTGAGTGTTAGAAATACCAAGCAATAAAAATTCTCTTTACTGCCGACATTTTGACATTTCAGATACAAACTTAAAATTTTACAAAGAAATGTACCATTGCAGTGTTCGCTCGCCTAAACACACCGAGTTATACGAGTTTTTACTCTTATCACTAAAACTGTCGGGGGAATTTTGAACGGCAACTTCATTCTCATACAAATTAAATAAGGCGTCCCATTAACTGGAAGAACGAGTGACCCTGTGGGTAAAATATTAAACATGCATGAGGCTGTTTTATACTTCCCTTTAACGCTCTTTCTATGCTGCTAATGGAAATTGCAAGATTACAGGAACTTAGTAGATTATATTTTAATGAAAATTTCTTGTATTTACGAGAGATCTCAAAAACCACTACATTTTTTACGCAAAGGAAAATGTGATAAATACTAGCGCTCATTAATAAAGCGTAAATGGGTACGTTAAAAATTCTCTACTAATTCACAAAAACTATATGGATAACAGCTCTGCCTCGAATCCTTGTCGAACCATCCCTCAAAATTAATATTTTAAATCTTTTTATTAGAGGCTGCACTAGTTGTACCTATGTAGGAATAGATGAATTGTTTCCGCTAATTTTTGAGTTGGACAAACCCTTTTAAAAAGGGATTCAGCACGGATCTTTGACTTCGTAGAAATAGATTGGCGGATGTTCGACATCGCTCTCTCTTTTCGATTTTCGTTCTCTAGTTAGACGAGGAACAGACGGACGGGCAAAACCATCAAATAAGGGGAATTTCTTTCGAAAAAGTATTACTGTATTAATACAATACGCTGATATTTTTTACAGTATCGCTTACTAAGTTAGCGATGGACCCATCTCGTACATGGGATGTACACAAATAATGAATGGAACATTAATTATTACCTTACTAATTCGTCCAGAATACTCCGAGTTATTTTTTTTAGCGCATTTTTTATCAATTAATTTAATCTTTCATGGTACTCTAGTGAAAGGTCTCAACGAAAGAAGTTAATTTCTACCAACCATAGTCCTCCTCCTCGACCCCTTATCGTGATCCGATATAAATAATTCCTTATGTCAAGAACATTGTCGGAGGAGGGTACTCGCAAAGGGCGATTGGGACGCGAAAAAACATATCTATTGGCGATTGGTGTACGCTGTACTTGCGGTCTATCTTGGAAATAAATGCACTTTAGTTATTTATTTCTAGTTTCTACCCTCTTCGTTGCTTCTGGGACAACGCGAGATTTAACATAGGATTTTTACAAGTGTATGTACTATGTACCTACTACCTAGGTACATTTACATAGAGATGTGTTATAATAAAATTTTACATGCGGCATACATTACATTTTTACTATAAGTACGTGCGTATTTGGATTATTTTTTCGAACACTTGAAGGAGGAGAGGGGCTCTCCTACCCCCCTCAAATGGTACCCCTGTGACTACATTTCTATATTGCTTCGGCAGAAAGGTACGTAACATATGGCATCTTAAAAGTTACAAGTATCTTTTACTAATTATTACTTAGTGATTTGCACAACACTTGTTTAGTAAAATTTTACCTTTTATTATGTCTATGATAGAAACGAAACTTGAGTTCTATACTTCAAAACTACCCAGTGAAAGCGATATCGACAGTAATAAACACAGAAATTAAGCACGTAGGTATGTTCTTACTTTACCCAGATGGATCGTCAGTTATGACGTCACAGCAGCAGAGGGGATACTATATACTAAAGGGACATAAATATTCAATTCATATAAATGATAAACGTAGTATTGCGCACACCTAAGTAACTGAACACCTAGTATGTTTTGATCAATTTTGATGAAATTTTCGGGACAGTTGATAGTTATTCCGAAATAAGAAACGATGAAAATGTGTATATGATACAAATTAAAGTAACGATAATAATAATCAGTGCTCGATTTCTAGAAATGGAGGTACAGAAACTACAACCTTCCGAGACTCCCACCCCTCCCCGCGTTCCGCCTCAAATCGAGCTGTGATTAATAATAATAATACTTCTATAGCCTTTCCTTTGGCCGCACCGCGCCGGATCGATCATCAATCGATCACGTTTAGGATGTGATGGGTCGGAGGCTACATGCTTTACAACCAGATGCAAACAGTTCAAATGATCTTTGAAGGCGTCTTTTTTAGAATCTTGGGACAGTATATCACTACCCACAGACTATAGCATCGATTCGCGAATTTCCAGTATGTCCGTTCGAGTTAGCTGAATGCGCAAGAAACAGTGGATGATTTCATCTAATTTGATCAAAGTACACTTGATTTTCAGGTACTTATGGCTATCTATCATCTTCACCTTGTTTCGTTAAATTCCCACGTTCTCGTTAATAAAGTATAAACATTGTTAACAGACAGGCGGTAGCAGAGAACCGTAGCCAGATTAGTTACTAAGAGCGGGCAAATAAATCTACAGAGCGGGCAGGCGAAATATAAATAATTTGCTGGGTACTGCTGAAGGAATTCGTTTTTAGCGCAATCCACGAAAGTGGAGCGCTGGTGACTCACATTTCCGTCCGTCTGTGTGTCGTTCCGTACTATAGTTCAGTGCCTAGACCTCGTATCGACTAACAAAAATTCACTTTGGCATTCATCACGTGTTATGGCTCTAAATTGGTCAAAATTATTATTTATTCACCAATTTTGTTGGGAAAACGATCAAACTCGATGACCATGAAATGTACATGTCTATTTTTGGCGACCAAAATATTTTTATCCAAAGGATGTCAAAATCGTTATTTATGCATCGATTCTCTTGGGAAATTCAATTGCGGAATGCCCAAGAAGTGGTCCATTTGTATTGTTGTTCACAGAAAATGTCAAAATCGTTATTTATGTACCGATTTTCTTGGGAAGAACTCGTATAGATGGTTCCAGATGAACAACTATCAAGAATTAATTTTAGTATACATCACTTTATTGCCCAATATCGATCTAAATCCTTATTTATGCACCAATTTTTTTGAGAAAACGACCAAACTCGATTGCTCGATGCCCAAGAAATGTGTGTATCGTATCGACTTAAAAAGTTGGATGTCATTTGTAGATCTCTCCTCGGATCTCTCTTATAGTCTTATGCCTGTACTAGGTATGTATTGCAGGTGGCAAAAAAAGATAATAAAATGATAATAATACAGGGTGAGTTTTTCATTATCACCATGGGGATCTCGTACGAGATGCAAAATCGCTTAAATGGGCAAAGTTACGCCTACACTTTCATGATGATTAATTTTCCCTTTCAAAGTTTCTTGTAGCTCTACAAATAGCGAAATTCTGGCCAATAATCCTGTCGTTTTCGAAGAAGCACTGGCGACGCTGGCGTTATTTAATAATAGAAAACTGTTAAATCCATCTTTCAACCTATAACATCTTAATTAATATCGCCACTTAAAATGGTTGATCTATTGTTTTGTTAATTTTTTGAAGAAATTTTGATTATTTATGAGCATGCTACATTGAGTTATTTTAAGCAAATTTTAAGAGCGGGCAAAGTGGGTCCCAAGAGTGGGCCCCCTCTAGCTACGGCCCTGGGCGCTAGTAAGGTGAATACTGTCTGATGCGTAAATTGGAGAAAACACTCGATAGGTTTTTACCTATACGACTATACGTAATAATCTCAATTTACCACAAAAAGTGTCAGTAGATTGTAAATAATCAACAAATACAATAAAGATTTGGAATAATCACTCTAGGGCATGCTGTATAATAAAGACCATGCTCTACGGTGCAATAAATTCTTAATACCACTTAACATAAATTCAAATCAAGATTAATTAGTGAATGTGAATTGTAAGTTTTATTAAATTCTGGTAGCTATATAGATAAGTAAGTTAAAAGTAGAATATTTTGTACAGTCTCCGTAGCATAGTTCACCGTTGGTAGATGCGTTCCAGGTTCGTATGTGAAACATTTTTCATATACGTACTACGTACATAGGCACATTGTTAGCACATTTTAGTATCATATTTTAAAGTTG